CCTCTACCTTGATGAAGTCAGAGGAGATGTCACACATAACTGCATGGGTTCAGTGGAGCACCCCCGGAGAGTCCCTTTTCATTTTTCGACTTATTGGCTCTGGTCAGACCAGTCAGTTCGAATGACGTTTGGATCTGAGACACTCCCACCATCCACCCTTTCGTGTACTTCTTATATCTGACCCATAAAGTCGTCTGTGTGGGTATACATCATTTGCATACATGGTACACATTTTTACTCACAATTTAATGCAACTAATAAAAGCAACCTGTCAATAGATTTTCATGTTTAAAATAACAAATTAAGTAGCAATATTTTCACGAAAAAATTGAAATATTGTGAGATTTTGAAGCTATTGGTTTCATTTGCAACAATATTTATTTCTACGGGATATCATGGGTTATGTCCCCTTAGTGCTTATTGAATCGTAGGCATGTGAGCGCACAGGTAGAATGGGGTCAGTCATGGATGAGTGGTCTTATCAGACATAGACTCGGAGATCCGTGCAGTCATGGTAATATAGGTATTTGTTGTGGCGTACATATAAATTACACATCTACTAGTCCGTAATGATACGGTACATAACATGTCGGACTTATTTCGAATTTGAATCTGCGATAAAAAAAATATCAATGTGCAAAATCACAAACAAAAAAATAAGCACCTTCAATTATTATATAAATCAAAGTGTTACAATTCAGTTCAACAATATCTTATAAAGAAAAACCTCAAATTTTATCATGTGAGTGCAGATGGTCAGTTATTTCGAAGGACGCGCCAGTAAAACCCCAACTGAGAACAGTTTTCATGAGCTAATTTCTCATCGTCTGACTCTGGATTTCGTTTAAAAAAAATAAAGCTGCGAAAAAGATATATAATTTGAAAAAAAAGCATTCGAACAGAACAACATTTTTCTCTACTTTGCAATGCTTCTATCCAATATAAATACATAGTACAGAGCAAATCTCGAATCCATTGAACTCGTACATTTTATTTCTCATTAAGGTTTATGACTTACATTTATAAATAGCAGCAGTCAATAAGTCAATTTATTTATGTAATTCAGTTGCTTGGCTGTTGCAACATCAATCCATGTTAATAATTTTCAAGCAACAAGTCCGTGATTTTTTGCTGCAAGTCCAATGTAATGATATACAATGTACTAAATGCGATACTAGCACGCCAACATAATCAAATACCAATTCTTTTAACCAAGTCTTGAAAGTCAACTATGTCACGTATTCAGAAACGTATTATAGAGGGATTTGAGATTTTTTTTCTATTTTTTTATAGTCGTTTAAAATGCTAGAAAATGCATATTTGTATCTATTTTGATATCTGATTATTATGGTTGTCTAGATACGTGCTAATTATAACGTATAAATTGATATTTTCTGTACGATGATTGTATTATGGAATATTTTGAAATGAAAAACTGTATCAATTATAGTTAATTAGCGTTGCTGTCTTTATATACCATTACTATATAGAATAGATGACACCACTACAGTAAAGAGGAGATATCATCATATAGAATAGATGACACCACTACAGTAAAGAGGAGATATCAATCTATAGAATAGATGACACCACTACATTGAATAGGAGATATCATCATATAGAATAGATGATACCACTACAGTGAATAGGAGATATCACCATATAGAATAGATGACACACTACAGTGAATAGGAGATATCACCATATAGAATAGATGACACCACTACAGTGAATAGGAGATATCACTATATAGAACAGATGACACCATTCAGTGAATAGGAGATATCATCATATAGAATAGATGACACCACTACAGTGAATAGGAGATATCACTATATAGAATAGATGATACCACTACTGTGAATAGGAGATATCACCATATAGAATAGATGACACACTACAGTGAATAGGAGATATCACCATATAGAATAGATGACACCACTACAGTGAATAGAGATATCACTATATAGAATAGATGACAATACTACAGTGAATAGGAGACATCACTATATAGAATAGATGATACCACTACAGTGAATAGGAGATATCACCATATAGAATAGATGACACCACTACAGTGAATAGGAGATATCACTATATAGAACAGATGACACCATTCAGTGAATAGGAGATATCATCATATAGAATAGATGACACCACTACAGTGAATAGGAGATATCACTATATAGAATAGATGATACCACTACTGTGAATAGGAGATATCACCATATAGAATAGATGACACACTACAGTGAATAGGAGATATCACCATATAGAATAGATGACACCACTACAGTGAATAGAGATATCACTATATAGAATAGATGACAATACTACAGTGAATAGGAGACATCACTATATAGAATAGATGATACCACTACAGTGAATAGGAGATATCACCATATAGAATAGATAACACCACTACAGTGAAGAGGATATATCAACGTATAGAATAGATGACACCGCTACAGTGAATAGGAGATATCACCATATAGAATAGACGACACCACTACAGTGAATAGGAGATATCACCATATATAATAGATGACACCACTACAGTGAATAGGAGACATCACTATATAGAATAGATGACACCGCTACAGTGAATAGGAGATATCACCATATAGAATAGACGACACCACTACAGTGAATAGAGATATCACTATATAGAACAAATTACACACTACAGTGAATAGGAGATATCAACATATAGAATAGATGACACCACTACAGTTAAGAGGAGATATCAATCTATAGAATAGATGACACCACTACATTGAATGGGAGATATCACGAAATCGTCTTTGCGACATAAATGAATAAACTTTTATAATTATCTTACTTACAGCTTGATATATTGGTCACTTTTGTTGGCCCGGATGTAAGAAACCAAGGTAACTGTGCAAAGTCCATGTGGTTGGGTAGGTGACTTTATACCTTTTCATGTCCGATCGGGGAATCAAACCCTAGCCGCCCTGGAACACAGGGAGCTCAAATGACTATCTTTTTCGATAGGCTGCCATGGAAAGCGATTAAAATCTTATGATCTATCAAAATTTGATAAAAATAGCAAAATCAAATTTCAATGAAAATATAGGTGTATTAATTATGACAGGCAAATCCAACTATGATAATTGTTTCCTGATGCCATCATAAAGATTATTTACGATTACAGAGGTAGGTCAGAGAAAATTGAATTTTGATAATTTTTACTTTGGGAGTTGTGTTGTCAAACCTTTTTCTTTAAATTCATTTAAAGTAGATTTTGTTTTGAACAATTTGTTCGTAATCTATATATTTTCTATTCGTAAATGAACGTCATATATTCGGTATTATGTATCTGCAATACAGTCCACTTCTTTGATAAAATATTATTATTACTATCATTATTACAATCTTAACGGCCCGTCAACATATAAAAGGTCATTAGGACCATCAACTGGTAAAACACACAGCGATCCAAAAAGGAAATAACATCAAACAAACTAAAAGGTAAAAGACAAATGCTATAAATCTTACATGGTTACATTATCACAAAAAATTAAAATGGTAAGTAATATTCTATAATATAGACCAACATCTTTCAGATAACCTAGACTTTGATAAATCTCAGCTGTTTTAAAAAGGGTCTTTAGACTTGTAACGTTACAATAAAAAAATATCGAGTAGACAGAAGGTCAATGCAGTCCAACAAAAATATTTAACGGTGAATGGCTCATCACTTCCTATGCATCCAGGATTATCTTCGCCTTTCATTATACATGCATGCCAAAGTATGTATGTCCCATCCGAAGATAGGCTTCGTCTCGGTGGTTGTCTCTATAGGGTGGAGACCATTCACCAATGATAGTTTTACGGCGTGCAATGTATGATTGGTATGTTGATGGCATTCCTCATGCCACTGAGCTGTATAAAATAAAAGTGTTACTGAAAACTAGCTTTTAATGATAAATTATCATGTAGAATATGTTTTTTGTAGAAGTGCCATTGCAAAAGACATTGGTTGCGTAAAAGGGATTAAATTCATTAAATCGTTAATACTTTCTTAACTTTTTCTAAACTTTTCCAAGACTTGTATATTTTCATTTCTACAATACAATTCGACAATTAAAAATACACTCTTTATGAAAAAATATATAATTATGTAAGATGACGTTATGCAAATGTCGTATTCACTGAGTTACAATAGTATTTTACTCTATAACATGTCACTATCTCCAGATACCGTACGCACTAATAGGTGCAAACTGACAATCTGGATAACGAATATCAGGATCCATGACCCCCATGACCCCCGTATATCAAATGTCTACTTGTTCAGTTTTATCAGGGACGTATATTAATATATCCGTCCCTGGTTTTATCTACTGTTAAATGGTTTTATTCCACCCGAAATGCTTATAATTAAAATCATAGGCCTGGGGCCAAACATTTCGTTGTGATTTTGCTCTAGATACAGCATACATTTGATCTTTGCTGAAATGTATCAACTACGTTTTCGTTCTTTTTCCATCGGTATATATATTATACAGGACGATGACAGGAAAGAGACAACGGTAATGCCGCTTAATATTTGAAAGCTAGAAAAAAAACACACACATTTAAATATTATAATAATATAGCGCAGATAGTTTCAAGTTGGATAAAGAATGGTAAAACTGTTATCTAACTGTATTTAGATTTTAAATAACAGCCGATAAATTGCAATAAGAAATTTGCACGTGCAAGATATATTCTGTGTAAAGATATGCAAAAGCTATCAGTTATATGATATATATTCGTTTGCAGTATCAGGACGTACACGTCCATTCAGTCAATTTCTGAAAATTGAAAATTGCGATCTCTTCTAGCGCGTTTTGGTTGAAATAATTAATCTATTGAAATATTTATTTCCTCGCTAAATTCTGTAGAATGTACTAGTGGTTTCATGTGTTTTATTTTGAGTTATCCCCCTTCTCTTACCGCAGGAGACTTGCGCATTGACTCCGACGGAAGTAGGAACCAGAAAAATGTTCTGACATAAATTTCTACAAGAAACATTGGTTTTGACTGGTGGAAACCCTATGTGGTAAACATAATGTCGTGTTTTCATTTGAAATATTGAATAGATTAACTATTTGTTTATTCATACCATATGTCAATATTTACAATCAACGCATTGTCATAATAAATGTCGACGGTTTTATGTCTGGCAACTTGATATCGTTCTTGGAGACAAACATTTACGCTAGAGATTGATAGTTATTTTCTTTGCTGATTTAATATTTGCTTTCTTTGTAAAATACTACGTTTTTAGATTTATGGACAATAGGTTAAGTTTAGAATATGTAAAAATAATTAATTGTTGATGTCATCATGATTTACTAACATATTTTTCAATCGTGTGACTAATTATACGACAAGAAGCAGACTTTGCACAGAAATTGGACGTTATATATCGAAGTATAGTTGTTTTTAATGTACTCTGTAAGTATCAGGTATTAATGTATATAGAATTCATGATTTTCAAAATTTATATCGATCTGTTATTACATTTTGTATAATATAGCCACTCATGTGATTGATCACGGGCTTACTTCGCCCAGGGACGTCCCTGCTTCGCCTAATTCTTTTGCTCAGTTGATAGACGGAAAAAATACCATAAATTGTCATGGTGGGGATCTCGGTTCAGTTCCTGTCTGTATGCTTGATAGAAATGTGTTTCACTGTACAATTACGATTGGTGCCTAACAAAATCCTACAAGTTGGTGAATTCAGAGTTGTGGGGTTGAGATTTAGAAAGATTGAACAAATGAGAAGGAGTGTAAAATGAATAGGAGGATTGGTAGATATAGTGTAGTCTACTATACAGCCTGGTCCCAGTCATTCAGATGACAGAGCATGCTTGTTTGCTTTAGTGAATGCTCTATTCACTAAAGCAAACAAGCATGCTTGGCGTCTGAAGGACTGCCATCTGAATATCTCAAGTTTGATTCTTGATTGGGCATAAGACAGAATTGTCATTTTATCTTGTTTTATAACAGGTTCTTGTTATTTTTTATGGCTATGTCAATATGTAAATCTTGTGATAATTGTTTCTGTTATAGGAGGCGACATGGGCTACGAGGTTAACAGGTTTCAGACTGAGCCTGATGAGGAATTGATCTGTCCAATTTGTAGTGGTGTCCTGGAGGAGCCTTTACAGGTGAGTTATGTTGCAGCGTAATTTGTACCATTGGATGAGTGTAAAGTCAGAGGTCATGGGTTTGATCCCAAATGGAAGCATTGGAATATTAAATATACATAATAAATGATCTTGTTTACAAGACACCCATAAAGGGACACAGGAGAAAATATCAATCTCATCGTTACTTTCACAACTGTTGCTGTTCCCAGTGGAAAATATAGTCAACTTATTGTGCTTCCAATGTTTGATGTAATGGAAACTTTTTCTTCATTGTATTGAGAGTATTGGACATGTACTCCATCTCTATTGGCCTGATTTCTATGTTAATTGTTAATTAAGTCAACAAATTAATAATTTTACAAATCAATTTTGTTGTATACTGTTGTGAAAAGCAACTCAAAGCTATGTGCAAAAAAAGTGCCCCCCTCTTACATTTTTATATTTGGTGAATACTTCAGGAAATAAATGAATAGAGTATTTCTTGAATATAATAAAAATCCATTTAACATGCCTTTATTGTATACTTTCAGGCTCCTCAATGTGAACATGCTTTTTGTGGTGCTTGTATACGGGAATGGCTAACCCATCAACCTACATGTCCAGTAGACCGTAACCCAATTACAACCAATCAGCTGAAGCCAGTCCCCCGAATTCTCCGCAATCTTCTGTCTCGTTTACAAATTAGCTGTAGCAATTCCTCATATGGCTGCACAGCTCTAGTCAAACTGGATATGCTATCCTCACATTTGCAAGAGTGTGAGCATAACCCAAAAAAACCTGTGCACTGCGACCATGGATGTGGTCTGGTGGTTCCCAAAGATGAACTCAAAGTAAGTGGTTGCTTAGAGATTAAATCTTACAAGGCTGAGTGTAATAATGTCACGCAATAGTTATAACCTATAGTCACCTTCTGTATCTGACATCATGCGCGAATATTATTACAGTATGATAGCTTAATTATGAATTTCATGAAATTATCATTCAAATTGCTGCAACCTACACACCTCAATACCGCATAGATTTTATTTCAGTAAGATAGCATTTGAAATCATCCTTCAATTTGCTTCACAACACCTACCAAAATCTTTAGTTTTATTCCTGTAAAGATTTCATGCAGCAGGAGGTTTTGAAATTATTATTTAATTCCTTAATTCCTTTCAGCATACAAAATGATACATAGAAAAGTTTATATTTTATTCCAACAAAAAAGCTTTTGAAATTATTTTATACAACCTATATGTAGGGATCAATATTTTGGCCTAGGTCATGGAGTCATATCAGTCATCAAAACAAAGGTAACATGAGTTCCCTATAGCCTCAAACCAAATACAAGGCTTCCTTTGATAGAGTGCTTGCTTCAGATGCTTTCAGGTCAAAAGGTCAATTGTCATGATCATTGTTACTAAAAGTATTTATAGAAATTTTATTTTCATGCAGTCATTTGGGGTTTCCATCTATCCTCAGCAGCTTTCATTTCCACAGCAGCTGAAAAAAATTGTTCCTTAATTTCTATAAAAATTCCTTAGAACATATATTAATAGTATCAATTTGTCTTCTATTCTTGTTTGATTCTAAGCAGGATTTTCAATACAAAATTGGGGTAAATAGATGTTGCTTTTTCATCTTTCTATAAACTACTAATGGCTAAGCAGACAGTACTTTTGAAGATTTCTCTTTTTTGCTGCAGCTGTGCATAGGATTACATTATTTACTGAAAAATACACAAAAATATTCATCACAATACATCATGATTACAATGAGACAATTTCACAGTGATGTTTCTCCTTTCCTCAAGCATAATTTTTCACTCCTGGTGTAACATGTCAGGGTCCACAGTCATTCATCTTGCAGAAATTCATTGGGACATTTTATAATTCTTTTTGTTTGTGACATTTCTTCTGCCTTACATAACAAGAGACTGCCATAAGAAGCAAACAGTTGATTAACATGTTTCCAAAATGGTGTTTAAACTGATTGTGCAGCGCGTTGATTCTTTACAGATTTAGGATGTATAATATGAAATATATTAATTAATCAGAAATTAGGATAAAAACAATTTCCTGTATATACAGATTTTCATGCAGTACATATGTAGTAAATTTGTAATCATAATATTCATTCCAGAATGAATATTGATAATCATCCCTGATGAAAATAATTTATGGCAATAAACATTATTGCTGTTACAGATAAATGATAGATGTATGCCTTGAAAATCAGATATATTTTGTGAAATATTTTATTTAAAGATTATATTTCTTTATCAGGATCACAACTGTGTACGCGAGTTACGAAATCTTGTGCAGCAGCAGCTTGACAGGATTGGTGAGATGCAGACTGAAATTGCTGACCACAAACTACAGATCTGTGAACAAAAACGAGAACTTCAACTGCTCAAGGTAAAGGGAGAGAACTCTATCACAGAACATTAAAGCCTGTTATGGATATAGATTCATGAACATATTAATTTGTGCAATCTATATTTATATTTTAACAGCAATCTTTTACAAAGGTAATATATGTTTGGTTAATAAAAGAGCATTAATTGCAAGACATATTTAAATGAAAACTGCTGTGAACTGCAAAATGTATTTGAAATAAAACCAGTGAGCTTAATTAAATATATGTTAATATCAATTTACTATTTACAAGGTTTTTTTCAATGTTGTTGACAGGAATATATGCGGTCTATGAGAGTTTCTAATCCTAGAATGAGGGAAATTCAGTCTGAGATGGAGAATGCAGATGTTGTTCGGTGAGTAGTAGACAGATTTATATAATTTATCAATAACTTGTTTCCATATCCTGTTTTCTTTAAAATTTTGTGTAATGGAAGTATGATTCAATTTGGAATGATTTAGAATTTAAAGTTTATGCTAACTAGAAATTGGCATCTAGATAAATTTTTTATAAGTTTTTAGACTGAAGCACCTAAAAAAACATGATTCGGTATATTGCGTAAAACATGTATTCATAATTATCATTGTTATCATTTCTTAAAGAAAGAATAAAAAGAATATTGGTGTAAGATAGGTTTCCATTCAATAGTTTTAGCCCACCTTTCATAAGACATATTTTTCTCCAATATCATGCTTCAATTGGCATCAGATTAGTAATGCATCTGTTAAATTGAATAGACAGGACAAGATGTTATTTGTTCCATTGTGATACTTGGCACTGATTTGATCTTGGATTGTATGTTTCTTTGTCAGCATCCCAGTGGTTGTATTTGATGTATCTTTTATATTTGAATTCATCAGGAATTCAGAAAATTCATCTCATAATTATGTGAGCAAAATTGTCTGTTGAATCAGGCTAGTAATCTGTATTGAAACAGTACCATTTTACATCTTTAAGGCTCAAGATTTTTTTAGAAGTTTTATATCTTTCATTAGTGTATTGGTTATTTGGGAAAGAATAGTTCAACAGAAATCAACATTCTTACATTGACAGGTGGGCTGGTAGTTTGCAGCCAGCCAGAGTGACTCGTTGGGGTGGTATGATTTCAACTCCTGATGCTGTGCTCCAAGCTGTTATCAAGCGTGCCCTTATTGACAGTGGATGTCCATCACACATTGTGAACGAGCTCATGGAAAATGCTCACGAACGTCGATGGCCCAGTGGATTAAGTACATTAGAAACACGTCAGCTAAACAGGAGGCAATATGAAAATTATGTCACAAAGAGAATTCCAGGTATAGTCTTCATTATTTATAAGGGTTAATGGTTTGATAATTCCAGCAGAATACAGATTGTGTGGGTTGAATATCTAAACCAAGGGAGATAATTGTAGGTTGCATACCACTAATATGTCACATACTATCTCGCTACATCAATAAATCACAATTACTTGTATAGAAAGCAAAAGAACTATGTGATAAGGGTTGCAGAATTATATGAGGTAAAGCTGTCAATGTAATATGAAAATGGCAGCCACCTTTGCCCATGATCATGAACAAGAAACAGATAAATATTTAAGAAAATATGCGAAGGTCTGCTACTTACAAAACAAATATGAATAACACAACAACTTATAGTCTTTGTCATCAAATTCATATTTTAATAAAAGCTAGTGATTTTGGCGACAGTAACATTGAGCATGAGGTTAGACATAATCAGACCATTTAACGCCTGATCCTATATGTTTATTTCATTTCATATTAGTCTATTTGGATGTATTTACCTTATAAATTCTTTCGATGTTGAAATAATTTGGAATTTGCATCATCACAAGCAAGGATTTACAAAATCAGTTCTATTGACAGGGCTCTCGATCTGCCAGATTTGGGGCCGATATTAGGCCCCATTCCCAATGCAAAATAGTATCTTTTTTTCCCAATTTAGACCCCAAGTTTTCCAAATTCTAAGGAAAGCACCATTATTTTTGCCAATTCAAAGGGCCTCGGGGCCCGAGTCCCAAAATGGGGTGTGAGAGCCCTGATTGAAATAAATTATTTTGCTGTCTTTGAGGTCTGTACCCTGAAATGAAAGGCATCATTATGCTTTTATTAAGCTCCCGAAGGGTGAGCATTAAGTTGCCGCTTTGTCTGTCTGTCCATTTGTCTGTCCAACATAATTTTGTCCGGACCACAATACAACAAGAAAATAAGTAGTGTATGTTTTGTCTCACCTGGTAAAAATTAGTGGTAATGCATGTTCTGTCTCACCAGGTGAACAAGCTGTTATAATGTATGTTCTGTCTCACCAGGTAAAAAAGCTGTTATAATGTATGTTCTGTCTCACAAGGTAAACAAGCTGTGGTAGTGATGGCCTGCGAGAATCAACACATGCCTGAGGATCTCATTATGGAACCTGGACTTGTTATGATATTTGCTCATGGAGTGGAATGAGTTTGGAAAGTTACTTTTTTTCCTTTTGTGAGGTGAGTTGTATCGTGTTGTTTGACTTCATTGTCGTTATGTTATTGTGGTAACATAATCACATAATATCCACCTTTCAGACGTCTTTTCTCTCATATCCTGCCATATTGGATAGAGTTTGCCCATGTAAGATAGCTATGTAAGAAAATTCTATCTTACATGGGCAAACATGTGCGTGGAGTAATCTGTGTACAGGGGAGACAACTCTTACAGCGTCGTCTGCTTGTTTACATCGATCTGTCAGCTGTCATCGTCATCACAACAAGAAAACACGGTTAACACCTACAATCCTGTATCACAGAAACAATCTGAAACTCACTTCGAATCCTTGTTTGCTGGTTATCACATTGAAAATTGCCAAATCACCGTAAATATCACCACAAATGTTCCACCACCCAAATGTCGTCGAATCATGGTGATCGAGAGCGACAGCGGCTCGGAATAGGAGATCGTGTGACGTCCCACCTTGAATTTATGAATGGAATTCCTTTGACTATGGTGACGTCATGTCAACATCACAGTATTTTGAAAAAATGTTAAAACAGTAAAAAGATACATTGATATATTTCTTAAAATGATCAAATATGTGATTTTGATGATAAAACTATATGTTGAATTATAAAAATCCATTCCTGGTTGATTTCTTTGAAGTATTTGACGGAAGAATTTCTTTTCGCGGATGTTTATTTGCACATACTATATAATCACACAGAGATCATTTTTGGTTTTTTATGCCCCCACCATGCCATGTCCGTCCGTCCCGTCGCGTCGCGTCGCGTCGCGTCCCAAATCAGTATATACCACCTAACAACTTCATTCGGACCTTTCACTATTATTTCACATGGGTGGGGGTGGGGGGGCTGGAGGATTTCATGTCTTACAGACATTTTCTAGTTTCATCTGCGAATAATATATTCATCCTGCATGTACCGAAAAATGGTTTGAAATTTGACAGCAAACCGAAAGTTTGCAAAATATGGGTATGATCATTAAGAATATCCAGTTCATTTTTTATAAAAACCTCCGATTAAAAAAATGAAAAAAAAAAATGAAGATAATGGCCGACCGACTGTCCTTTTCCCAAAATTTTGGTAAAGATATGAGAGAAAAAGACTCTTTCATTATGTGTGTATGTAGGATAGGGATATTCCACCCTCGGGGTCACAAAATATGGTAAAACCCTCGCAGAGCCTCAGGTTTCACCATATTTTGTGACCCTCGGGTGGAATATCCCAATCCTACATACACGCATATGAAAGAGTCTTATGATATTGTTTCACCTTTTCAAATACGACAACAACCTTGACCAGTAAACTTCTCCATATAAAGTATACTGCCAGTCTGCTCCACATGGTTTTATATAATCATAACAAGAAAGGTTTGATTTATGTTGAAGCTAAAAATGTTGAAATATTTTGTGAATTTATTTTTCAAAATCATAAGCATGCTGTAGACTTGAAAATGTGTTGTTTATTTGTTCATCAAAGTTTGTGTTCCTTTTTGTACCAAAACTCACTTAAAAGTTTTAGGGTAGGTGTTTATAAGTCCTACAAGTTCATGAGTAATTGGTATGATAAAATAACAAAAGAGGAATGGAAATATATTGATAATAGTGTAGTAGTCATATTCTTTATTTACAAGAATGCTTACTCTTCTTCTGCATATGCACATCACATTTTTGAAATGCAGTATTTACCCAACGATGATCTAGAAATGACTTTAAATTTGTTCTCTGATACGGTAACAGAATCACCATGGATGCCATATAAAGTAATTTTTGTACAAATAACTGTTAGGGATTTGAATTCATGTTGGACTTTCATATTATATGTATATGGATGTATACAACTGGGGAAAGCTTTTTATCAAACCGTGTATCCCAAACATCTTCGGTTTTGTTCTATTTTGTTATTATAAGAGGTTGTAAAAGATGCAAGCAATCATTTAACACCTGTAGTCGATTACACACATGAAGGCTAAACAGTACTGCAAGTTATAGAGTCAAGACTGAAATCTTTCATTACTGTAAATTATTGCCATAAGTTCTGTATAAAGTTTTACATATCATTTGTTTCAGTTGCAAGCTAAACCTTAAATGAAAAAAAAAATGAAGGTTGATTTTTTTCTTCTTACAGAAAACAACCTTTCCTTAACTTGTAAGATGAAGCAGCAGTATCTCCAACAATCGTCTACAGGCTTTGTTGTCACTCCAATTCTACAGGGTGAAGGATATCCAAAAGTATCTGATAACATTTGACAGACATCTATGAATTTTGAATTCTTTTGAGGATTATTCTGATGGACCAGTGAATTAACTGTCAAGGGCACTTCTAGCCTACTATATGCACAAGACTTCTGTTAGTCATAATGTTCTGATACTCCAGGAAACTTCCACATTTATCGTAAATTTTCATTTAAGTTGTGGGTATTTAGAATTCACAAGATTGTATATCCATAAAACGATAAACAGATAAAAGTTGACAGGATTATAATACAAGTGGATTTTGTGAGCAAGATTATTCTGCAAAATTAAATACTAACACAAATGTATACTTTTGCTAAACTACAAAATTTGAGCACCCCTAAAATGTTATTTTACGGTATGTATTTAAAGTTGAATGTCTTCCCAAAGTTTAACACCATTCCATAGTTCCTAACATTGACATAATACTTGAGTGAAGTCACAATTGATATTAGTATTGTATTTAATTACGTCAGATAATATCTTAATCGGTTGAATGAGTTTGTGAATGGTCATTCAACATATCAAATTATATTTTGTGTCTTGAAGAACTTGAAAATAATGGTGGTAGGTTTTTATTTTGGAAGGCTTTTGATGATTGTATTTAAGAGTAAAAACCTGTAGGAAGATTTTAACTTGTTTACAAATATTTCATGCAGAGCTACTAACAAGGTCTGTTTTGAATGCAGAGTAACATTCTGGAGCAGAGGAATTAATAGTATTGAATCTCACAAATCCCTAGACTACAGATGATAAATGATGTATCAAATTCACATTGAAAAAAGGTTTTATTTTCCTGTTGAGACTGGCAGTTTCCCTTGATATTGATGTCAATATCTGTCCAATTCATCGGATTAAAAACTATGCCTGTGGTCCTTGTCTAATTTTAAACAGATCATTATTTTAACAAATTAGTGGTAGAATTATGTACTTGCAAATAGGTCTTTTTGTTTTTTGTTTTATTTAAGTAAGAACTTGTTTAAAAAGCAAGTGTGATTACACCCTCGGGAACAGAATTCATCATCAAACATTTTCTAATTTAGAAATTTTCTGGTAACCACCTCAATCTAAAACTTCATTCATTAGACTAAAATTCACTTCAGTGCAATCACATCATTGATCTAGTAAACTGGTTTCTTAAAACATGATGAAATAATGTTGAATTAACTTTTCATATTTATATACTATTCTGATTTGTGATATATAGGAAACTAGGTATAATATCGCATTCAGGTTGGGCTAGAAGGAGCTGGGTTGGAGAGGTGTGGACTAGAGGAAGCTGGATGGGAGAGATGGTGGGCTAGAGGGAGAAGGTTAGGCTAGAGGTACCTCGCTGGGAGAGGACTTGGTTAGAGGGACCTGGATGGGAGAGGGCTGGGCTAGAGGGAGCTGGATGGGAGAGATGGTGGGCTAGAGGGAGAAGGTTAGGCTAGAGGTACCTCGCTGGGAGAGGACTTGGTTAGAGGGACCTGGATGGGACAGGGCTAGGCTAGAGGGAGCAGGATGGGAGAGGGCTAGGCTAGATGGAGCTGGATGGGAAAGGACCGGATTAGAGGGAGCTGGATGGGAGAGGACTGAGCTAGAGGGACTTGGGTGGGAGAGGACTGGGCTAGAGGGACTTGGATGGGAGAGGACTGGGCTAGAGGGACTTGGGTGGGAGAGGACTGGGCTAGAGGGACTTGGGTGGGAGAGGACTGGGCTAGAGGGACTTGGGTGGGAGAGGACTGGGCTAGAGGGACTTGGGTGGGAGAGGACTGGGCTAGAGGGACTTGGGTGGGAGAGGACTGGGCTAGAGGGACTTGGGTGGGAGAGGACTGGGCTAGAGGGACTTGGGTGGGAGAGGACTGGGTTAGAGGGACTTGATGGTTGGTATATAGAGGGAGTAAAGAGTAAGAGATGAAGAATACTATACATTATAAGCACAGAACATTCCTGTTCGTGTCGTTAAATTAAAAATTTGAAATTAAAAATGAATGTTTTTATGTGATATTTAATATATGATCACTGTTTATGTAATATTTGAAAAAAAAAACAAACATAAAATAAATTGTATTATAATTAATATTTGTAAGTCTGTTTTCGTAACATGGCATTGCTGATATAGGAGATGCATATCAGTCTGGACTTTGATTTAAAATTGTAAGTTATGAAAAGGCCTTGGCATTTGTACAGATACCAAGTAATTTTTATATGTGATATGTTGATCTGTTACCAGTAGAACCTTAAAAAAAAGAAATTCTTGTTTATTCCTATGATAAAAAAACAAGCTTAATTACATTGAGTATATATACAAGAGAGAGATGATGCTGTCATTTTTTAATTTATTTTGTTAATTTAAATTTTTTTATGATAATTATGTGTTGTATCACAGTTTCTATAAAAAGAGGGAAGTTTATTAGACCTTTCAGACTGTTGTTTTCTTAATTTCTTGTTTTCTTCATAATGCAGAGTTATCTGCTCTTGTTATGAAGTATTAATTGTTATGACAATAGTTTTACATGAGAAAATTATGTTTTTTTCTCTGATGCCACTGTTACTAACAAATGAAATAACAATCAATAACAACTCACAAGGGCAGATAATTCTTCATTACAAAAAGCTGGAATATATGGTTTCCTAATCTGTCAAAATTCTAAAGATTTTTTAAGTAAACTGAATCTTATAAGGTGAAACATGAATGAACAACAAAACAGAATGTCATGTCTTTGGTTAATTTGTTTGTAGAGAGAGTATAGTCACTTATAAGGTGTTGTGTGAGTGGTCTCTATAACATACAAAAATCATTCAAGTTTACCATTACCAGTATTATTCAGTTAATGTAAGATTTTGACATTCTTTTCCAATTCAGAAGTCAAGCTGCTAGTCTTCTAGCCAATCAGACATAATAAACAACATTGAATTTAAAGATTTAAAGATTAAGAATTTAAACATAGGTTGAATTTAATGCAATAGATAGTTGACATCCAGCATTTGCAGGTTTTTGTTGTTTTTTACCTCCAGATTGCCACATTTGACAAAACTTTTGATGCCTAAAATATAGAGATAGAAGCTTGTTTTAGCTGCAAAAGTACCTCTACAAACAGTTTTTTACGACATTTATTTCATGTGATGATGATGATAAAAAAAAACTTAAAAGGGTAGAAACATTCATCTTTTAAGCAGGGTTGAATTACAATATTAACAGACAGGCAGTTCAGTAACTGTCATACACTGTGTAATATGTAAATCAGTAAAGTTATATGTCAGACAACTGTAACAGTCATTTAAAGTGCTGTAGATATTAAGAGGAAGTAATACAGGCTATTGGTGAGATCGGATTATGATTTTCCGTTTGTCCTTGATACTTTCAGTTCGACATAAATTGAGAGGATTGTAGATGGGACAGAAATTCTTGTCTGATTTTAATTTGGTTGTCATTTAAGATATTGTGATTTTGTTAGCTAAAGGAATCAAGATATTCAAAATATGTGATCATTTGTATATGTTTTATATATAGAGAAACATAATTGCTCCTTTTAAAGAAAGTATTATGTGTGTACTATGTAAATATACCCACCATCAGTAAATCTTTGTGTTTTTGTGTTTGTATTGTGTTATTCAACAGTGATGCAATATTTGTGATAGTTATATAAAAACTTTCTGTATGACACATGAAATCTGTTTGATTAAGCTTATTATGCATCAAGAAACAGAAGTTTCTGATTACCATGTTAATCACTCTTAAAGCTGTTTTTTTTTTTTTTTTTTTTAAATGTGTTTAAATAGATCATTCTTTGCTGATAAGTTTCTTTGAGAAAAAATTTCAGTGTAAATTTTCAGTGTTTTACTTCTGGTTTAAAGACAGATTCTAACATATGTTGCCAATTTTTCCTAACCATGCGTTAAAAAGCAATGAAAATAATCCTGTTTAATGTTACAAAAAAACACCTTGTAATAGAGACCCAAGAGTTCAGGAGTTGTAGTAGAATAAAGAAACCTGATCATGTTTAATAGTGTGAACATGGATATTTAGAGATAAAGTTTCAGAGTTGTAATAAAGTCAGAAAGGGACAGAGTCTAAAAGTATAATGGCTATAATAGGTTGAAGATCCCTTTCTATTTTGTCATATGTATCTGGAATTGCAAGTTACTGTTTTCTGAAAGCTAAATTGTAATGTGTGTTATCGTTTTTATGATGGAAATATTATTAGTATAATGTGTGAATCTTGAAAAATCATTGATTGTATGATAAGGCTATGAAAGTCTGAATCATTTTGTCAGTATTGTTGTTATAAATCATGGCCACCAAATAGTGATAAAGTTCTTTAAATATTTGTCGTATACTTGATTAGCCTTAAACAGAGAATGCCTTTTGAGGTAAACAGAGTACAAAGTTATATTTATTGGTAGTATACCGAATGACCATTTTGTGATACATTTACGTCGTTTGTGACCTTTTGGATGAAAGATCTGATCTACATTTTTATAGCTCAATTCAGAATAGCTCATCAAATAGATTTTGCATGGTCCAGGCAGATCACAATATAATTTCAGGCATGATTGAAACAATTCGTCACTGTTGCCATGAGCGAAACATTTTTCATACCATTGCTATGATGTTCATGGAAATACTTAAATTACACTTAACAATACTTGATGTATATTGATGATGAACAAATACATGTGACAGGGAATATTTACTCTAATGAAGGTTGATATTTCAAGAAATGATCACTCCATTATATGATAAGAGGAGAACATGTTGAGATAAATCAACTTTTTTGTTCATGTTCCTCAGCTTAATATCAAATTTGTGTTCACATACCCCTCATTTCTTTTTTAAACTTGTTGAAACCATGACATTTTTATTCATTTTTCATTTCATACTTTCGCATTCTAAGAAAATAGAAACGGTTGTGATATAATCACTAATATCCCGTATTGATCTCCATAAACAACGTGGAACATAATTTTGTGTACATAAAATTTCCTGTGGATTATATCAGTTAGAAAGGAAAGTCTATGAAGTTAATTAAGCTTATATTTAGTAACAGTTTCATTAACGATTGAAGTGTATCTTCGAAAGAAAGCCACCACCAAAATTAGAGTAGCAAAGTTGACAAAAATTCCAATGCAAGACTAAAATTTGATATGTAGATACAGAATAGAACTGATATCATGACCAGTGGAAAGGATATGAATTTTTTAATAATTGTATTATAAAAACTTCTATATACAATGTAGATATACCAGCATAAGTGATTTTTTAAAATTGAATCTCCATTTTCTGCTTGTGATACTAAGTTACAAGAAAAATGAATCATGAAATTTAGAGAGTAACAAGCAATACAGATTAACATGTAAATTAGTTTAAGTTGTGTTAAAGTGAATTTCATTTCCATTGCATAATGCTTTCTGTATAAGTTATATATTTAAACCTCTATATAAGAAAATCTATACAATTACCAATGCTTTATATGTGGTTAGTATTGAGAGAGTTATTTCCCTTGAATGATGTCACGTAAGTTTTGAGAGCTTAATGCGTAGAAAATAAGAGAAATTATTTGTAGAGCATAACTATGTATTATATATAATCCCATTTCAGCTTGATGGTAGATGATGGCTGTAGTGTGTCTGTTTTTACTGTCAGTGGTTACAGTACTATAAATCTTGTGTTTGGAATGGATGTTGATGTTTATATATTAAGTTTGTACAAGTGCTTCTGTTGATGTGTTGATACATTGTGATAAAGTGTTTGTAACAAAAATATTACTATTACCTATGATGATCAATGGATTATGATTATTTTTGTAAACAATTTTTCCTGAAATTAAAAAAGGGTATGATAATTATTAAAAACTGTGTTTTCAATTCTGTTTTACTGTTTATAAACATTTAGTTTATTTTATATAATGGTGTGGTCATCTATCAACATTAGCTCACCATCAGCTTTAAATCATCTGTTGAATTTGCCCTTTGTTGTGGTTTCCAATTCCACAATCATTAATACCTAGTATCACTATTTCTTGACAGGTATTAGATAGAAGTCAAATAGATCAATTAAAAATGAACCTTGGCAGTAATGTAGTTTCCTTATGGCTACTTCTTTTAAAAGTTTATTTAAACTTCTAAAACTGATCAAGACAACTTTGCACACTCTCTCCAAGGATGTGTTTCACCCAGTACACAAATAACTATTATATTCGGCTATAGATGGAATTCTTAGTTTAGAGCGATTTGTTATTGAGTGATGTTGAAGAATCATGAATGTACATTCAGAGTGATAAAAACAATGTATGACAAGTACTACACTGAAAGATGGCTAATTCTAGATACAGGCTCTAAATCATGACAGTTAATTCTAGATACAGGCTCTGAATCATGACAGTTAATTCTAGATACAGGCTCTGGATCATGACAGTTAATTCTAGATACAGGCTCTGAATCATGACAGTTAATTCTAGATACAGGCTCTGGATCATGACAGTTAATTCTAGATACAGACTCTGAATCATGACGGTTAATTCTAGATACAGGCTCTGAATCATGACGGTTAATTCTAGATACAGGCTCTGAATCATGACAGTTAATTCTAGATACAGGCTCTGAATCATGACAGTTAATTCTAGATACAGGCTCTGAATCATGACAGTTAATTCTAGATACAGGCTCAGAATCATGACGGCTAATTCTAGATACAGGCTCTGAATCATGACAGTTAATTCTAGATACAGGTCTCTGAATCATGACAGTTAATTCTAGATACAGGCTCTGGATCATGACAGTTAATTCTAGATACAGGCTCTGAATCATGACAGTTAATTCTAGATACAGGCTCTGAATCATGACAGTTAATTCTAGATACAGGCTCAGAATCATGACAGTTAATTCTAGATACAGGCTCTGAATCATGACAGTTAATTCTAGATACAGGC